ATAAAAATACCTTTCCATTGAGTGGTAATATGATGGACCCAAGTTCGACATTTAGGGAGTTTTTCAAAAAAATCGGGGACCAAAACCCAGTTTTTTGACTATATCCCCAAAATGGTTTAAGATAACCCCATCATATTACCACTCAATGGAAAGGTATTTTTATAACCTTTAAAATGATACCAATATTATATTAACCGGATCCGTAGAACCGGATATAACCGGGTACCCGTACCCGAACTTCCGGGTCAAATAACCGGGTAACCGGGTACGTCCCCCAAGAAAAAAAGATATCCCCATAATTAGGGTAAAAATACCTACCTCTGGAAAAAATTTCAGAAAAATTTGATCGTTTTTACTAAACTAGAGTTGTTCCGGAGAATGTTTAAAATTAATTTTTGGTAACAAATATAATTTTTATATGAATTATTTGGTAAAGCAATGCCGTAAAATCTCAATAATCCGCATTCTTCGGTACTCCGGATTGCCGTTCATAACTCATTGCGCATTCAAGAATTCGAATTGTATGTCTCTATTTACCAAAATCGTAGGATAGCACGAAATTACAGTTCGAATTATGACCTAATTTAATGAAAATTGTACCTATTATATATTTAAAGTTCATATTTTCGCAATCGAAACTATTATTTTTATTAAAAACATAAAGCTATTTTAATTGTTACTTAAAAAATTAAACCAATTAAAAAAACTTGTGAATCTGGAGAATTTAGTAATCCGGATTGGGAACTACACTTACTGTGTAATGCAACAAGTAGCACATTTTGTGAATTAATTTCGAACGTTCTTGCAACAAGCCACAACAAAATTACTTATACCATGGCAACCCTATGCCATCTGAAACCTATGACAACAAAATCGTATGTTTTCTCTTCTTATATCTTCCTTTGGTAATATGTAGCAAAAATGAAATCACATAAAAGAAAAAAAAAACATAGCAACAACTAACACAAATCAAATCCTTGAGTCACAGGCAAAGAAAATCACACATTGTCAAAAAAATATATAAATATTTATTTTACCTTTTATTTACAAGATTTGCTCCTCAATATTGATGTTCTTTTTTAATATTTATTTTCACAATATTAAACAAAAAATTTAACACAACAAGAAAAAGAAACGTATTTCACACTATAATTATTATATGTATGTATCGTTGTATTTGTTACGTTTGGTTGATAATTAAAACAAAACACAATTAGTAACTTTTATTTATTTTCAGTTTACAATAATTAACACATTTCAACAGTTTATTTCGTTGTTAAAAATATTCGATATTCACATTTGTTTCTTTTTTCACCGTTTAATACATTTCACTTTCTCTGCAATAAGAATTCTTATTGGAATATACTGAGAGCGTAGAGATTCCCTTGTCTAATATCACAACGACGACGACGATTTTATTTATTTTTTTTTCTTATTTGACGTTTTGTTTTTGCCATGAATTTCGCATTTTTTGCCTAGAAATTTTTTGTTGTTGTTTATTTTGCGGTTTGTTATTGACGAATAATGGGATTGTTGCTGTTGTAAACAAATGTCGTTGATAAACCGAAAGGGGAATTAGTGAATCATTCACAATAGTGGGAATACTATTCACAGCTGTGTGATGTGGGGGTAGTTAATTGGTTGTTTATATGAATCAATCACAATAGAGGTAAATAATATAAAGAATGAGGGAGAAAATTATAGAATTGCCAGATTGTTGAAAATTATTGGGGTATAAATTAAAGGTGGAATCAAAGGGTAATAATTAAACCGGAGTTTATATTATCGTTCTCATATACAATTATAGATTAGTAATCAGAAAGGCAGTGAGAGAACGGGAATTGGGATATGTTGACTATTATTGGACACAATAAATTCTTGCAATTTATTACCGCAGCGTTTACATTAGGTGTTTTTTAAAGTGAAATAAATTCGTTCTTCTTTATAACTGATGATCTAGCCGACTTGACTAAGACCATGATGCAATAATAAGGTGATGTATCAAAACAAAAACCTTTGTTTTTGTCTCAATTGTCTGTCAAATTTTTTCATATAATATTTCAAATGGTTGGCAACACTGCACATCGAATTCAAGTAGAAATTACCCACTTTGACAGTTAATCAAGACATCAGCTGCGCTAAATGGACTACCTATTCATTGTGCCATGACTAAGACCTTTCAATAAGATCAGCAAGGAGGAGTTACTTTCTTTACTTTAATGTCGAAAATTTGTAATTTTGAAACGATACTATTGAAAACAATTGCATCTCTGTAGATATGAGCCACTGGAAAAACTTAAAATCGATAGGATATGGGGTTGGGGTCAAAACAAAAACCTACATAGTAAATTATCTCACCGAAGGTTTTTATCCTCAGAGAAAACAAAATACCAAACTACAGACACTTATGTTGTCTTCGGCTGGGACCATCCAAACACTCCCATATAAGTACTTCCAACCATCAAATACCCGAAATGCCAAATTACTTCAATTGGAAAATTAACTCACGATTATTGAAAGACCTCAAAAAACATTGATCTATATTGAAAATTCTCTGCGAAGAAGTCACATCGGTTGAAAATGCACCTTGAGCCATTAAAATAACAAGGATGGGACAGTATATTTTTATGAAGGCTATGACAAAACGTGTACTCACAGGGTTGCACGTGCCAAATGTTTAAGGTCGACAAAATGTCCGAAGAACATGAGTTTCTGACAAAATGGCGAGCCTGTTAGCCGTATCCTTTTATGCATAACCAAATCACATTATCGATAGTCTCACGAAATCTATATTTGAGGTCTTGGGTCAATTCTAGGCCGTTGGCGTAGATATTACTATTCTCCCAAGGGAAGAATTACAAACGTGTTAAATCATAAGATCTCGGTGGACAATTGCGCCGTTAGCAATTAGAGTCGGGCAATTTCGTTCCTAAACCAGTTCTATCTTTTTCGGAACGTTCCACAAAACATATTCTGCCAATAAATTGAAGAAGCACTGAACGGCTAGGACAAATAGAATAGTAATGCTATAGAAACGGCCCAGTATCGATCATTACGTTAGTGAAATAGTTATTTTGAACTAGTTCGCCAAAACGGAAGCACAAACAAGATTACAGAAGCAGATCATTTTCATGTAATTGTTTGCATTTTAGAATATTGGCAGCTCTATATCTTCGAACGCATCATGAATTATGCCATTAAATTCTGATTTGACGCTCGACCTTGGACGAAAACCACATATATTTCAAATGGCGTCCAATAGAAAAAGTCGAACTTTATTAAAACAAAACTTATCGGTGGTCAATTGTGATCGCCTTTTTAAAGATAACACGGTTCGGAAAATGTTCACGTAAAAGAGCTAAAATTACTTTTTTAGTGTGGCGTAGCACATTTTGGCGGAAAGCCCATTTGCTACAACAGCATCCCGAATTCCATATTTGGGGTCTAAAATCTATACTGAGCTGAAGACATTTTAAGTCATGTGGCGCCCAACGGAAGGAGTCGTAAGGTGTTAAATAACAGGATCTCGATAGCCGATCACCTCGAACGATAACGCGGTTCGGATATATATCGATAGCATTACCAACTAATGACCCAACCTCATTTTCGAAAAATTACGATTCAACCAGACCGCCGATTAATCCGGCCCAAACTGTCACACGTCGTGTGTGGAGAGACACTTGGATTTTCCAAGCGGCCGATGCCACAATTTTACTTGTCGTATTGGGCCGACTTTCCAATACCAAAGAAAAACGAGAAATGGACAAATTGGGTTTTTTCAACACATTTTGGACTCCCTGAGCTTCACATTGCCACTTTCGTTGCGTCCTTGAAAGGTTGAAGACTTCAGACTATTATTTCCAACTTAATCGTTATCAATTTATTCCTATACTAATCTGCCGACCTCAAGTGTAAGTTTCATGCTTCCGTGTTCTAGTTTTCGCGATTTTGTGCTCTTCTTTTTGTTTTTTCACTTTCAGTCCGACTGTAAAAGCTTCCGCTAAGAGCTCAACTATATAGACTTCCCAAGCTTCACCTCGTCTATCAATACATCTTTAACTACAATTTGTCTCTCAATACGTACTGGACTTTAGAATATCCGTCAAGAATCTCTATGATTCTCACTGTAACTCCCGGCATGATCGACAAACATGTGGGTTTAAATTCAAGGGTTACTAATTCCGCCATTTATCTCTATGTTATTTGATGACTCAAATTCTAGTATTAGGCAGCCCACTATGAACTCGATGACGTCCCCACCCGTCCCCGCAGAAGGTATTCCATGATTTTATTATTTTCCCAGACTTACTACTCTAATCGATCAGTTCATAGCGGAGCTCATCTCTGTACCGTCTCCCGGCAACCTTCGCGAGATTGGTGGTTCCTTACCAATAGTTGATTCGTTTTGGTATTCCCGATCATTCCAATTCAGCACTTCCCTTTTTGACTCCGGTTGTAAAGACTCCTGGATTGAGATCATTATACAAAAACCCTGTCTTTCACGACATACCGAATTTATCGAACCACATCTTCAGATCAGTCATCTTTGTGCATTCAAAGTGATTTAGGTCCCATCATCCTTTATTCAGGGTTCTATAACGGCTTAGAATTTTCAGAGATGACACAGGTTTCTAAAATTCAACTGTATAATAATAAAAACTTTGTCCGCTATAGAGATATGAGGTAATGCCAAATAACACCTCTTGTAGGAAACCCCTTTATTTAATTTATGACGTCAACGTTGGTAGTTTCTTTGAATTCAATTCACAATAATCGATTTTGACAGTAAACTTGAGAAACAGCTGATTGGCCTGGGTGACATTATTAATATGCCTTTGTTGACAGATATTTGGCATAACTAATTGTTATAATTTTTAAACAACGTTTACATGGATTATTTTTCTCTTATTTTCTTTATAAGTCAACCTTGAATCAATCATTTATTATTTTTCACTTTAACATTTCTTCTTTTTCATTTATTTTTTTCTCTCTCCATTTAGATATAAATTTAAAGAAATTGGTAAAATTGAAAATCCCCTTTATGATAACACCCGAAGATGATAATCGTTTGGATGCCTTTGTACCGTTGACGAAATTACGCAAAGCTTCGGTATATAAATTGAAAATAATACCGGAAAATTTGACCGATGAATATACCGTATTTATACGCGGTGAACGTAAAGCCGACACGTTTTTGGGTAAGTATTAACAATGCACAGCTACTGGCTGGCTGCTGGCGCTTTGAACAATTTTCATATACTGATTAAGCAAAAATATGAAGACTATACAATATTCGAAATATTTCCAATAAACCGAAATACAAACAACAAAACCTATAGAATATTCACTGATAGCTGAATGTAGAAATTTTCAGATGATAACACAATTCACCTTTTGAAAAAGACATCGGGAGCTACATAATATAGATCAGTTTGTTACGACAAACAAACAAATGATTTAAATAAAATCTGTTTTAATGGATTTTTTATTTCAAATCTCTTTGAAATAATAAAATTATTTTGTTTGAAAGGGTTTTGGCTTCGTATTGAACAACTGTTTGATAAGTTTGATTAGTTAACAGAATAGGAAAACGATAGATAAGAATCCGCCGCTATATGGGTCAGTTAGAATTATTTTAAAAATAAATACAAAAAACAGGAAAATATACAACTACGTCATAAATAAGAGATTAGGATTTGATTTGTTTGATTATAAATCCGACTGTAAGCATAATGGCTAAGTATAAGGTGGGGTTATTGCTTAATAACAAATATTAAGTGTGGATTTTTAGAGATTCTTTTTTAAAGACCATGTTATGTCCAGGTCACCAAGGTAGCAATCGAAATCGGAAAACAGCTGTTTTTTTCTCAAGTCTAATGTCAAAAATTTCGACTTTGTTTACGTTTTCATAATGGAAGTCAATTAACAATAATGCATTTTGACAGCAAACTTGAGAGGTATCGATATCCAGCTGGTCTCCCTGGGTGACCTTACTTATAGGCCATGGTTATGTCTTTACTTTAGTAGACAAACGATAACTCTTTATTAGATCTTAAAATGAACTACATATGTACAAACTATGAATATAAGAAACAGTAATGGATAATGATGCATAAACAATAGATAATATTTTACAGTGTTGCCATGTTCAAATGTATTAATAGTGATGCCAATACAGGATTGTGACGACACTACAGACCATTAAAGCTACAGTACACCGCGGATATAAGAACATCTTAAATAAGAAAAACACGGACATAAGAAAATGTTTCCGCCATATAAGAAAACTGTTTATTATATCAAATACATGCATATAAGAAAAATCCGCTTATAAGAACAAAATTTATCGATTATTTTGATGTTCTTATATCCGTGGTCTACTGTATAATAAGGATTATTAAATGTTTATGTCTACGATAAACCATTAAAATATATTCTTAAAAATCCCAGCTTCAAACTACGACTGTCCCTGAAAAATATAAAGAATATCTTGGGCGTCACATACATGACCACATAACGAAATATATCTCCATAAGAGGTCTACAAAGCTCCATTTATGAAAGGGCATCTTCATATGCACAATTTAATTTATCGTTCGCGCTTGAGGCTATGAATGTCCCTGATAGTGTCCCTTAAGTATAATAACGCCTGCTACATTTATAAATGTCTCCGCACTAAATTTCAGCAAGGTGAGGCTGCCTAGAGCTTTAGATGGCTTAAGTGCTTCAGATGATTCATCTATGATCTTCAAATCGTCTATCAAGACATCCTAAACATCCTCGGGAATCCATGTCGCCCTAGGGAAACATGTGGGGAGAAGAGAAAGCATAGATTTATGTGGTATATACAAATTATCGGTCGGGGGCCTGTATTTACGTAAAACAGTTGGTAATTTGTGGGGTTTATCAGTCTAAGCTACGCTTTTTAATCATTAATCATAACAGAATCATTATTGCCGTCTTACCCCGATGGAGGTTTATTTGGAGGGTTCGATCAATCCCGATCTTTTCGGGATTCGGTTATCTTATTCTCGGCTCCCTCACTTTTGTTGCTTGTTGTTTCTCCCTCGCTACATCCCGATCCGCGTCTTCCCAATCTTGAAGTAGACAGACTTGTCATTGAAGACGCAGCATAAGGAGAGTCTCTTTTTCGTTCTCCTCCCTGTTGAAAACATCCATTATTGCTGTCCCACTCCGATTGAGTTCTATCTGGATATATTCTTGGGAGTCGGTTATCCTTTTCTTGGCTCTATCTAGAGTTGGGTAGTTCCGGAACGAACTAGTTCATTCGAACTATTCCGAGAAAGGAACGATCGGAACTAGTTCCAACTCTTGAATTAATATAGATGCGTTTTCTTATCTCGTTCCTTTTTGGTCTCGTTCCTTTATTCCCATATTCTTCATTCCTTCGTTTTTCAAATACTGTCACATTATTAACAATATATAAAAATACGCTCATCAATTTCAATTTTCAATCATCTATTACAAACCAAACCGGAACTATGTGAGCGAAAAAAAAAACAAAAAGAACGACGAAAAAGAGAGATTCAAAGAAACTATGGGGAGCAAAGAAACTACATCAAGAAACTAGTTCCTTTTAAAAAAAGAACGAGAAAGACGGATCCGCTACGTGAACTAGATTGCCCAACTCTATCTCCCTTACTTTTGTAGCTGGGTGTTTCTCCCTTTGTGTAACTTCCTCTTGTCCAATCCATACCTTCCCAATCTTGAAGTAGACGCTACTTCTGGATCCGTGCCTTCCCAATCTTGATGTAGATAGATAGACTTGCCATTGAAGACCCACCATAAGGAGAGTGACTATTTCGTTTTCCTCCCTGTTAAAAACATCAATTAATGCTGCCTCACTTCGATGAAGTTTTATCTGGAAAGTCTCTATCAATTACCCCCTCCAGTAAACGATATACTTGGGAGTCTGTTATCTTCTCCTCGGCTCCCTCACTTTTGTTGCTTGGTATTTCTCCCTCGCTACATTGTGTGATTTCCTTCCCTCCAACCCGCGCCTTCCCAATGTTGAAGTAGACGGCAGTAGACACGTAGTACCCTTACCCGTAGTCTTGGTAAGACATGCCATTGAAGACCTGTCCAAGCCCACCACAAGTAGTGTCCCTGTTTCCTTCTCATCCCTGTGAAAAATTTCCCACTTCCTCACCAGCAGTATATTGTTCTGCAGACCAAAGACTTCGAACATGAGTTCTGTCGTGAACTCGCTGTCCCAACCTCTGACGAAGACCATTGCCTTTTGTAGTTGAGGAATGTCTCTTTTCCTCATCAGCTTATAGAGACGAAATTTAGTACTAATTTCCTTAGGATTTCTATGCTATTTGATGACTCAAATTCTTGTATTTGATAGTCCCTTTTGAATTGGATGAGGTGACCCCTGGCAGCAGTGTAACATGAGTCCCGTTTGGTATTCACGTTCATTACAAAATACTCAGATTCAGTGCCTGTCTTCTTGATATTAGAGCCATCTTCGCTGCCCTCAGTCAATTGATCCTTTAATGTTGGGTGGGCGCTGCTTTCCCTTTTTATCAGCCGACGGGAAGCTGTTTTTCTTTCTTGCGGGATCGGTACTCGGCTGCTCTTTCGAAAACCTAACCATCTTTGCCGCTTCGGAGGATGTGGAGGGAAGGTAAGGATTATCCTTCTGAGGATTCCACTTCTTACCAATGGTTGCTACTCTCTTCCTAATTCTTAAAGTCCGGTTATTTCTTTTAGGATTCCCGGGTTAGCTCACTTTTCTCTTTTTAGCAGCTTTTTTTCTTTCTGTCGGGCTTGACATTCGCCTGCTCTACCGGAGACTTAAACCTCTTTGCCGCTTCCGAGGAAGTGGAGGAAAAGTAAAGATTATCCGTCTGAGCATTCGTTTGCTGTTCCATTTTGTTCCTCCGATTCAATTTGACCAGTTTTTCCAAATCTGCGCCCCAGATAACTGTTTCTTTCTTGTTGTGAGATTAACGACATCCTTACTCATATTATCGGTCTCTTCACTCCTCCGGCATTCTAAAATAGTAATGATCCTCATATTCAGACTTGGAATTTGATTTTGAAGGCCGCCTGTCTCCGAAAGTTGATTCGAGATTGTTCTTCCCCTTTTTTGCCTGTGGGCAACATTGGACTACAAAGGTTTAAACGTGAATGGTAATAGTCAGACCAGCTAGAAATCTGAACATCAGATCATCTATCAAAACATTACGACCTTCAACTCGTCTCTCAATACAGCCTGAACGTTATTCTCGTCTTTATGAGTCCCGTAAAAAATGTTTTTAGTTTTTAAAAACGACGCGGCTAATCTGTTGATCTAGGGCGGAAATCCCATGGCTCCGGGGTATAGTCTCTTAAGATTTAGTGCACTTCGCTTCCCACATTCACTATCGAAACATTACACCCAGAATGCTCGACAAACTATCGCTTACAATAACTAGCACAAATCTTCATGCTAGTCCTTTAAAGTGACTTAGGTGTCATCATCCATTTTTCAGGGTTCTAGAACGACTTAACCATTGCCCACACTCCAACAGATTAAACATTTTGCCACAGATTAAAATGTCCGGCTTTTATCGGAGAGTTTAGATTGTTGAAGTTCATCATGCTCTGCAGGAAAAAAGCTTGAGCTTCGAGAATTCGGATATACCAAGCGGATATAATGATTTCGGGGTTTCTTCTCTACTACCCGATCCTCAGAAGGGATGATGTTCCTATTGTTAGGGAAAGTGAGTTGTTCAGATGTGATGAGCCCAAGTCCGAACGATTGTAGATCTGTCATTTTTGAATAATATGGGGAATATGAGGACCAAAGAATCGAATATAGAACCGTGTTTTTGTGTTCCGAGGATCTATAGCAGACGTAACATGGCAAACCGTCATTGCATTGGGGTCATAGACCACCCGACTTTATAATTTCTAAACGCCGTATTTTTATTAATCATGAGAAAACCAATTGGGAAGTGCTCAGAGATTTCACAAATCCTTGTTTCAGAAAACTGGAGAAGCAGGAGTTAGGCCAGGAAAATGTAGCGTTAATTGCTTCAGAATAGAATGCGGCTTCCGGCTTTGTTTCTCCCAAAACATTGGGCTCACTTGGTAGACCGTCGATCTCTGAAGGGAAACATAGATGTATTTTCGTCGTCGGAAAGCGATTGCTACTGAACTCTGAAGTGATAGTTACTGAACTCTATGAACTATTGCTAGGGAAATGACAGCCTTTAATCGGCAGCATGAACATGTGGATCACTTTCACTAATGTCTAGAGTTTTATGTCACTCGAGTATAGTTCAAACGATTAGGTCTGTATTGAACATAGTGGTGCAATAAGAATGCTAGTGTCTCAGTTTCACTTATGAAACGATACGTCGCCAAGAGAATTTTGTAACCATCACAACGCTGTAAACTACAATTTTCATTGAACTGGGTTTCATTCTCCGCCATAATCTTTCGTTTCATGACGTATACTACCTTGTAGAATTTACTTCGGAGTCCGTTGCAATTGAATATCTAAAAGTATGCAGGAGTTGCATTGTTAGCAAGCTTCTGATCAGATGCTGTTGAGGATAATTGTTCTTTCTATTTGAGCAGAAGATACTCATTACCTACAAATGATTAGGACCTCTGGCTTGTAGTTAAAAAATTTTGTTCAAAAGGTTTTCATCGCAAAGAATTTTATTGTGGAGTTATAAGGACATCTTGAATAAAACTTAGATCCAAATACTAACATTTTTCGAAGAATATTGTTAAGGACTAGTCCAGCTATATATGAAGGCATTACTAAATTATTTTATTTACTAGGTCCACAAGAGCATTGTTACGAAGTTTTGTTTTTAATTTCCCTTTTTGTTCCAGACGATGTCATCAAACACTTTGAAACCTATCTCTACGAAGGTCACACTCTCTATCCGGCCCGTTTGCGTAATAGTAAAATACAAAGTATTACATCGGGTCTGACAATTGCTAAAGTTCCGACACATGGCAGTTTACGTTTTCCCGATGATAAGGAAATGAAAAATGAACCCAAGACCCAAGTTGAAACGTTTTCATCGACAGAAATTCATCATAACACCCAAGCTGAAATATTGCCCGTAAATGCTAGCAGTACTGCTAGCATTCCGGCACAAAATGCAGTGTTAAATCCTCGAACTACGAATGTGTTGCAGAGAACAAATACGAAAATTGAAATGGGTATTCATTCACAAGTTTTGATATCGGCCGGAATGATGGGTCAGCTATATTTTGAAGTAACCAATACGGGGTGTGATAGTATCCTCTATAATATTCAGGTGGTGGATGAAAAGCGTTATCTGATGCGATTGGCACCACAGAGGTAAGAAGGATAGAAAGAATTAAATATAATTTCTGAATGGGATACAAATTATCAAGGAGATTGCTTCTTGGAAGATTGCTTGACTCTCTATCTGAGAGTCTAAACATTTCTAGATTGATCATTAAGAGTTCCAAAAGTTATCCAACTCCTAAGTCTGTATTTTTTTATTTTAATAACTTTTATGTTTTTAATACCTTGCAGCCTTTTCCTAAGTCCAGGTCAAATGGCCACCGTCACAGTAACCGTGTTGGCACCCCAAGGTACTGAGGCAGGTACTGTGGATCACATAACATTTTCGACAACTGGGGTGGGACAAACCACATCCTTATCATTGAATCTTAAAGTTGTCACCGCATCGGATATACAGGTGTGTCATAATCCCATAAAATTGAAGAAACTTACTAAATATCCCGTTCCCACTTTAGGACAACTCTGCACCCGAGCTCTCTTGGACCTTTGGCAGCCGCTGTGATGGTATCTCCACGTCGGATGCCACCGAATGTAGCGAACGTTTTTGGAGTTTATATGTAACGGCGCGGGATTGGCAAACGGGTGTTATGCGATTGCAGTCAACCCCTACTGGAGGTCTAATGTACACCAACTCCTATGTGATTGGCAGCAATGAACCGTTGAAGGCTACCTATATAGCAAGTTGTTGTGAACCCAAAGTTAGCCTTGTGGCTTATGATGTTGTCGGTAATCAAAAATCCTATAGCATTGATGTACGAGATTTGGTCTTGAATGAAGCTTCGATTGCGGCAATCACCTTGGGTGTCATTCTGCTACTGATTTTATTAATATTGATCATTTGGGCTATTGTGTGGTGTTGTCGTCGCCGTAAGATTGTTTTGGATATGCCCACCTATCGTTCACATTCTACACGTAGTATGGAATAGAAGAGTGGAGCTTAATGAGAAGGATGTTTGAAGTTTTAACATCACAATTTACAACAATTCCCTTGCGATTAGTTTATGTTTTATGTCCATGTATTGAAAATAAGTGCCAAATTTGTAATAAGTTTTTTAAATAAATAATTAGAAAGGTAGTACTTTTCTGGAAAGATATCCGCATGGTACCTTCTAATATTACAGAATCGATACCTCAACTATTACCTGAAGTAATCACAAGATGAAATATTGCTAATCGAGAAGAAGTAAGTATTATTGATCAAGTTGATCAACAAACGATCAACGATGTGCAACAAAACTTTCGGCTAGAAAACTACTCTGTATATTTAAGATCCATACGCCTGTATTGGAACTTGTGCAATCATTCTTCCTTCACGGCATCCGAAGGAAACTTTGGGGTTTAATTATGTGAATTCAGATGAATAGAGTTCCCACCGAACCGAATGAGTGAGTTGTGGCAACGATTAAGTCGCTCACAGGAAGAAAGTATGATTGGACTTTTATCTTGTTTAACGGCTTTTAATGACATATCCAAAGAGGATATTATTTTAATCGGTGATTCATAGAGCATCCTGTTAGGGACAGACCGAAGAGAAGAGTATTGTGCAATTTACGTTGGAAGATGTTGCAAATGCCATCAGAAACACAAAGTCATCCAATGCACTTGGTCCTGATAGAATCTCTATGGTGATGTTGAAGCAGATGGACGAGCGAAGAGTAGAATACCCAACCAAAACCCTGAATGTGACATCCTAATGGTAAATTTGCTAGCGAAGGTAAATCTTATAGACCTATCTAACCCATGTTAGCAGTAATTAAGACTCTTGAGGCATTGCTACTCCCTAGCATATGTAAGGTGGGTGATATCTGTCTAACATATACCTTTCTGGAATTACTCTCCAAACGATGACGATCATGACGTATGGAACAAAAATTGATTATATTTACGATAGATTGAACAAATATATTCCATTACAAAGTCAACGGTCACACTGTTTACCGCATGGACAGCGGAGATGGAACAATCTCTGAATGTGTACGTCGATGGGTTCACAATTCCGACCACTAATTACTACAAGGATCGAGGGGTCACAATGGATAACCTGTACAAGTCAGCGTCAGCGTTTGCCACAGCTATTTACGATAAGGTCAAGAGGAGAAGCAAGGTTCTGATATCGGCTTGCAGGCAACTATTGTGGAGCGAATAAAGAAACCTTGCTGCTCCAGTGTGGTCCTTCCAGAATACCGCCCCGATTGCAACAGGAATAGATGAAGGGGCTTCGTGTGCGTCAACACAAGAAGGTGCTGTCGATGCTGGGGAGTTATTAAATCACCAAACCACCGCCTTATGGCGTTTCCACGACAGAGGGTTCTACGATTTTAAACGAGCGTCAAATCGTAGAACCTCTGTACATTGTGTTAAAACAGTGGAGTGTCTAAAATCTGCTACCTTGTTGACCTCTTATAAAGCAATAAGCCGGTCAGTGGTAAGCTATGCGGCGCCAGCATGTTTCGCGAATGTTAGTGATACGTAGTGGAAGGATATCCAGATCTGCCAGAATTCTGCCCTGGCAAACTGCAACAGTGTGTCTCATCATGACTCCTGTGGACCATCTTCAGGAGGAGACGAAGATCTTACCCGTCCATCGTCGATGCAGTACTTGCTTGCGCGCTATCGTCGGAAACATCCCTGCCATAGTCAGGAAAGATCTACAGAGAGAGGTCCAAAGGTACAAGCGTGAACCCCTTGATCAAGAAGCCTATCAAGCAGCTCTGAATGGTATTCACACGGTCGATGCAGTACTTGCTTGGGTGCTATCGTCGGGAACATCCCTGACATAGTCTTATGGACAGGACTCCCCCGTCCAGGCACGTCAGGATAGATCTTCATGATCTAGAGAGACGTCCAAAGGTACAAGCGTGAACCCCCTAGATCAAGAAGCCTGTCAAACAGGTATGAATGGTATTCACACGGACGCATTCGCTCAGGCAGTAGAGCAATATCGCGTGAATACCACAATTGGAGACCACCCCCCAACCATCGCAGCAGAGTAGAAGCAGCTGCCAAGGCAAACACGAGTAGTCTTAGCTCAACTAAGATCAAGATGGTGCCACCGCCTCAATTCATGTTAGGCAAGAATTGACGGCTCAATACCTAACACATGTCCTGCATATGGACTAGGAACACATGACACGTTGTACCTCTTGAACTGCCCAGCTAAACCGACTCTATAGCCGGATTCAACCCGTTCATGTTGCAACATTCTTAAATTTGGAGGTAGAGGAAGCAAAACCAGACGATGAATGACAAACTACATGTATTCTGTTGCTACAACAACAACAAAAACCTCATGAATAGGCATGAATGCCAGAAAGGATCTTCATTATCAACAGGGCCAAGATCTATTAAATAGGGCAACCAGCTAGCGCAAGTCAGCTGTTTTTCTCAAGTCTATTGTCAAAAATTGGGACGTTGTTTACGTTTTGGAAGTCAATTCACAATAATGAATTTTGACAGAAAACTTGGGTAGCAGCTGTTCTCTCTGGATGACTAGGCTTTGCCTATTAAGAAGGATTGAATCAAGGCCCATTAATAAGGTCATCCAAGGAGACCAGCTGGATATTAGCTGCATCTCCAGTTTGCTGTCAAAATCCATTTTTGTGAATTGACTTCCATTATGAAAACGTAAACAAAGTACAATTGTTGACATTGGACTTCAGAAAAACAGCTGAATTCCGCTAGACATTAAAGCTGTTGTGAGAATGCAGGGTGAATACAATTCCCTGAAAAAACCCCGTCACCAATAGTTTCAAAAAAGCAACAGGAACCCCTACAAATCAGAGTGTTTTTTACATATTTAAATTATCGGTGGCATGGTTGTCTCAATTCATATTGGGAAATGTTTTCAGTTATACGAAACATAATTTACGCTGTATTCAATCGAGCAGAAAATAGAAGTAAAATTAATTTTTAGCACAATTTTTACCATTTTGTGGGGGATGTACAATGTTTCGACGAAATCGGTTGCTCCCTTCGAGGGTTATCGTGTGCACCAGCCGACCGGACGGACAGACGGACGGACTCCGATCGATTCCAAATTGTCTGAAACGGATTTGTTCCCAAGAAACATGCTGTCTAATACCAATATTTCGATTAATGTGTATATACCCCCATTAGGCAAGAGGCTTAGGGTATAAAAAAACTTTAATAAAGCAAAACAATTTTGTGTATTACTATCATGTGTAAACTCATTCTTGATATACTGTACATTCAACAAAAATCATTAGGGGAGAAACCTGTTAAGCTAGATTTAAATCCTTTTGGTATGTGTACTATGTAGGATCTTAGGAGCACCTATATACAATTATAGTATTAATAATAAGTACATTTATAATTAGTATTGTGGTCAAATTTCTATTTTACAATCCAATTATTATTTAATTGAATAAAACTGCATGTTTCAGCTGATTCCCATAATAACTATTGTGAATGATTTTGTGTCACAACATAAACCTCTTTACTTCACATTGATAAACAACCGATGAGATTGGCATCTCTAACGCTGACACCAATTGTCACCTTAAACACATAAATGAGGGACCCTGTATTTCTTCAACTTGACTATTGCGCCAATGACAGTTTCTTCTTTCTTTTTTCTGATAAGATTAGAGGAAAAAGGAAAACATCAAATGGTCATGTACAAATTCAAACTTAAACTCCCAAAAATGTTCAGCTATCAACAGGTTGACAGCGTATACATCACGTAGAGTGAAAAAAAAAACAATAACAAAAACGACAAAACAAATGACAGAAAAGTGACAACAATAAATTGGGAACACCATAATTCCTTCACTTACCTCTTCCTAATAATGCTGAGGGTGTGACCGATGGCGGCGGTGGTGGTGCATGGACAATTGGTGGAGCAGCCGGCAATAATTGGGGCTTATTGGGGAAGTCATCAAACGTTAGACCTGTAACAGAAGCACTTAACAGAGGATTTTTAATTGGTGTTGCGCCCGGGCGCTGTTGTGGTTTCGATGAAGAGGAATCACTCATTTTTTTTCAAAATTTTCTGATTTTTATTTACACGAAAAAACAACACTCTGTGGAGAATCTATGGAGGATTCAACAAAGCATAAATGCTTATTGGGTACGAAAACACACACGCACGTACAAACACACAATAAATGCAATTCAATCAAAGCCAATGGGCACAATTTGCTAGGAGCGAAATAGAGAGAATTACGGAATTCCAACACGCCGTTTTTCGATTTCCAGATTGCGCTACTGATAAAACAAATTTTTTTTTGTTACCCGTTGAGATGAGGAAAAAAACTTTACACATCAGCAAAATCAAAAGAAAAACAAAACACTAAAGGAATGTCAAGTGTGAAACAGCTGTTTAGAGATTAAATAGAGATGCCAGATGTACGTTAACAACACAAAAGCCGACAAATGTCAGGCTATTGTGAATGGTTACCATTTGATAACAGAAGAGAGCGCGAGAGAAGGAAACGGCATTAACAAAAAAAACGTGCTAGCTGGTTTTATTTGTATACAAACCCTCATCGTTGCGGATTGAATTGAAAAAAAAATTAATAATTATTAATAAAAATTCCCACAAAACATGGCTGAAGTCCTTAAAGAAATCCAAGAAAGGGATTTACCCGAGTATGAAGCCATCAAATCGAGTGGCATTTGCACGGAGGAGGAACTACGAAAACTCATGGTTGAACGTGAACGCTTTGAAGTGAAATTGATTCAAAGTAAAAAGAATATCATCAATTATATTGAATATATACAATTTGAAAAGAATACCCATAAATGGGTAACGGAGAAGGAGACCCAGCTGCATTGCTCCCTGCCAGATGTCAAGAGATCGATAATTCAGCGCATTATTAAACTCTATCGCAATGGTACACAACAATTCCCCCAAGAGGAACGTATATGGAAAAGTTTCATACAATTTAGTAAAAAATCCAATGCGGGACAGGTGTCCGGTATCTATGAGAAAATGTTGGGGGTAAGTAGAAATATTTTGACATGATACAAAAAATTAATAAGTGGGGAAATTGTAAAGATTACTTTTCTTTCCTAGAAATGTGGATTATTAAAAGTTGTCTGGCCATAAATGTGGTCCATATAAAGAGGTTATAATATCTACAAAAAAACCTATAGAACAGCTGTAAGAGGGTATTAAATCGAAAAGCACCTGTAGCAGTTCCTCTATCTAAAAAAAATGGAAATGTTTTCAATATGAACTATGAAAACTGCTAGGGTTGTACCGATTCCCAAATCTTCAACGGTTCAAAATGCTAACGATTTGAGGCCTATTTCGATTTTGCCTTTTCTTTCGAAGATTTATGAGCATTTAATCCAGGACCAGATACTTTGAAGACCAGGAATTTTCTTTTTGGTAATAAGCATGCTTTTCGTAAGGGTCACATGGGGGAGAGTCTCAGAAGAAATTACCGAGTGCTTATGGTCCCTGAGCTGACGAGGCCTCCAAATAACTATCTCAAAGGTTTGGGTCACTACCTCTCAAAGTGACCACCTACCACTGGGGTGTCATGCGACCTCGTGCCCATTAGTGTTCTATGGTTTCCAGTCAGGGTCCCGACTGTATTAGAACGGAGCCTTGTTGATACCTGGGCGCATCAACAGGTTTATTCAGGCTTAGCTGCCAAGTCCTTGCCATGGTAGCCTCTTACCATGGCAAGGACTTGACCATGGTTGCCCTCAATCCCTCACAAACAGCACATTCTATGGAGCCGAATTTAAATAACCCCGAAACTCGAAGCGGATACTGGTACTGATGATGGATCACCAGTACCAATAACTGCAAGGCAAGTCGATGCCAAGGAGATCCCTGCCAAGAAGATATACCGGTTAACTACTTTAAACGATTCATCGGACGGGACAGCGACTCCATCACGGGAAAGGAGTTCCTTCTTATCAAGAGGAACCTCAAATTCATCCGGAAATTCTCCAGGAATTAACCGAATGATATTGCGAGGGAATTCTTGACTGTCGATCCGTCGTATTGTCAAAACCGATATCCACGGGAAAGGAGTTCCTTTTGATCAAGAGGAACCTCAAATTCATCCGAAAATTCTCCAGGAATTATCCGAATGATAATGCGAGGGACTTCTTGACTGCCAATGACATTGTCGTATCTCTCTGGCAGATCTCAATATATTGAATGTAATGGCACATATATTGAATAGCTGGCACATATCGTCTTGTCTCCTTTTTTGTGCACGGGATACAGGTTGCTGAGGTTCCAATTATTGAGCATGCATTCCTCTAGACAAATTGTACTAAACAGTTGGTAAATTCACCTGATCATCATCAGACCACCGGTCTAGAATAGTTCGGATGGCTAACCATCAGCACAAGCTGTTTTATTATTCTTCTACCGACTAATTGCTATTCTGACCTCATATTGGCTATGTGGTATACAACCTACACCGGCCCCTCTACTTGGTTTTGGCGTTTCCTCTTCACCGCCACTATTTGATACCAGAAGCTTTGCAAAATGCTCCTTCCTGATCCTCAACACGCTGGCGATATCTGGTTTCCTTCTTCATCCCTACAGGAGGATGTGCCTGCGCCAAAGCCATCGGTTTGATAGAATTTCCGCAATTCAGTCTGACTCCTGTACATCTAGGTTTACTCACGTTTTTCTGGATCTTTCTTCTATCTTTGGAAAATACGTATCTTCCTCTCTCCCGATACGCTGCGTTTTTCACCTCAGTAGCATTACGACACTCCTGATCGTACCATGGCTCTCTTGATGGTGGTTTTTGGTACCCAAATGTTGTTTTTGCTGCAGTTTGTAGAGAGTGGGCAATTCTTTGTCATTGTGCTTCTATATTATTATCGGGGCAAGGAGTGCTTTCATCAAGCAGGTGGGTAAGTTGAGCGGGGTAGGCTTCTGATGTCTGTTGTGTTTGCAGCTTCTCGACGTCGAGTGTCCGTGTTGTGTTAGATCGCACCTTTGCTGCTACATTAAAATGAATGCGAACCTAGACTGCTACAAAGTAATGGTCCGAATCGCTATTTGCTCCCCGGATCGATCGAACGTCTAAAACACTGGATGAAAGCCTTCCGTCAATTTATTATTCATAATCCTTGGAAAAATATATTTTTCTTCAAATATTCATAAAAAATAGCTCTAATGGGTCTGAAAAATATTCACTACGAAATGTACACTTAAGGGCTTGATAATCTCTCTCAAAAATATTTAAAAAAATCCACACTTCTCAGAATTGATAATAATTTTAATTTTTCTTTCCAGTATCATGGCGACAAGGACACAGTATGGTGTGATTATGGTCTGTGGGCATATGAATTTACGCAACAGCTGAAACAGGTCACTGAAATATTCTTTAGAGCCCTGAAACGTCATCCCTCCTCCGAAGTTATCAATTTGGCATTTTTCGATATATTGATAAAAGAAACGGCCCGCATCACAGATGTTAGTAATGCTATTGATCTTATGGAGAGGCAATTGGGTTTGGAAAGAGCTGTTCTGCTATATCGTAATACAAAAACAAAAATAAAGAATGTCAGTTACTACCTCAAACTGCTGGAAAGATGTGAAGAACCCACCTACATTAATTGTACTGTACTGCTACAAAAGGAAATCATTGAAGATATTATGAAGAACTTTTTCGCCGAACCAATGGTTTGGGATTTTTTGGCACAGCGTGAATTGCGTGGTTATAATATGATTGATTTACAAGAAGTGACTTCGAAGCAGGTTGCTGAATTGCAGGAACAACAAATGCAAACAGATGGTAATATGCCACAGGAGACTATTTGGAAACCGCATAGCCTTAAGTTACGTATTGAGTTGTGTTTTAAGGTTTATGAAAAAGCAGTGGCGGCTCTGCCCACCGAAGAGATGTGGTCATATTTTATTAATGCCATGCTCGATTTAAATCAAGATGTTAAGTCCGAGGGTGATGTTAAACGCTACTGTTTGGCCAAGGCCTTCAATATGGGTCACAAGTCACAGCTCATGAGTGTGGTCCACTATCAGGCTTTGGTGGAAATGTTACTAAAATCTCCAAATGGCCAGACGCAAATTGAAACGATATTACAAGAAGCTTTGGAATATAAAAAGGCAGAAGCCCATAAAATCTATGAGTTGTGGATGCAGGTTTATAGTAAAACTTCCAATGAATCGAAATTCTATGAAATCTTTTGTCGAGCCAACAAAGAATTGGGTGTAACCCGCTGTATACAGCTATGGCATTTGGCCATTAAATTCTACGAGGCCTACAGCGAAGAACATGGCAAAAAGTTGTTGGTCATACTGCAGGAGGCTGCCAAACAAATTCATCCCGAATTTGCAACATTCCGTTCATATTATTTGGAATACACCATGCGTAATGAAACGTTGAAGAGGACGCGGGAGCTATACGATGAAATGTGTCAAATGCCACCGCCATGTTTGGAGCTGCATAAGAAAATGGCTGAAATTGAACTGCAGGCTAAGACGAAGGTAAGGCTATATAAAATATTAATTTTTTTCTTTTTTGTTAACATTTTTTTTTTCTTCTAGAACTCCAACATTTCCCGCCTACGTTTGTGTTATGAAAATGCCGTGCACTACTTTGGCAAAACCAACACCGATGTTTGGTTAGATCTGCTGAAATTTGAACGTGACATGGGCGATTTTAAACTAATGTCAGTTATCTATGATAGAGCAAAGTCTACATTGGACCCGGAATTGGTTGATTCATTTATTGCCGAATATTCATTGTTGAAAGTTTTAAAATGACATTGCAGATTTTTTATGTTTTAATTTTTTATAATATAACTAGTTTACTTTAGTTAGTATTTAGTTAATGTAAATAAATGTTTGTGTCTGAAAAAAAATACAAGAAAAAATTAAAAGTTTGTTGTAAACAACAATGCCTGATTGCCGAACCTACCACAAAGTGGGCACTGAAAAAAAAAATGGGTCGGGACTTATATTTGGGAGCTATGTCATGGTAAATTACTGTTAGGGGGTTGGAAATTTTGGCTAATTTAAAAACACATCGATGGGAAACGCAGCGAAGTGGATGTTAACTTCTTCTCTAAGAACCCGAAATACCAAATCACAGCACCTTTTATTGAAAAGTACGGTCAAAACCTTAAATACAGCGAAAATGGAGCCGATGCATTGTATGGGGGCCAAATAAAAAACATAACCCAATATTACAATGTTTTTTGCAACGACACTTTTAACTCTACAAGTGGGTAGAGGGATGCACACTCAGGTCCAGCTTGCTACCTTCCCAAAGAGGATCAATGTTGTAAGTGTGCTCCTAAGGAAGTCCGAGGACTATACAATTAACAACTCTGAACCCGAAGTCCGAGAACTATACAATTAACAACTCTGGCCGAAACGATGGTTTCGATGATCAACTTCGTCGTTGAGGAAGAGTTCTTTAATGTATCTCTCGGTTAACAACCAGTTATTTTCGCTGATAAATTCGTCAAGGTCGGCTCGATCCATGATCTTCACTCGCGGATCTCCCGGTTAATGTTTCTGCAATAACGTTTTGAACTCTGCAAGTGGGTGGTAGGATGCACACTCAGGACGGAAACTCGTGGACCACAACGACTGTCAGCTTGCTACCTTCCCAAGGAGGATTAATGTTTTTAATTGTGATCTTAAGGAAGTCCGAGGACTATACAAATGACAACTCTGACCCTTTTGTATAAGGCGATCTGGCCGAATCGAAGATTTCGACAATCAACTTCGTCGTTGAGGAAGAGTTCCATAGTGTATCTTTCGGCTAACAACCATTTATCTTCCATGATTTCCACTCGGAGATCTCCCGAAACTCCTGGTTAATCAGCAGGGTCGCTAGGCGCCGTTGTCGGTTTTTGGGGTTCTTGCATTGAGACGGCGGGTTGGCTTTCACCTCATCCTTACAGCTCTTGGCAGGGATTCACTATTGACGCGTACGAAGCAGTTTTGACGTACTCACTATATTTTCGTCATCATTCGGATAGTTGCGAAAGAACTTCTAAATTTGGGACTCTTCTCAATCTGAAGGAATTCCTTGACGGTATAGAGACTGCCCGCATAGAGTCCCTGTCCTGATCGTCGAGAGTGATGGAATTGAAGAAACAGAAGAGTAGGTCGATACATTGACATTGGTCGTCATCGTTTTAGGAGGCTGATTGACCTTTAGAATTCTAAACTGAGGCTGCCAAGGCAACCACACGAACATTAGCCGAAACATTTCCTAACATTTTTATATTTTGATGAAGAAGGGTGTTTTAAAATTGATGTCAGCGAAGGCAGCTAAGCCTGAGTCCTAGTGTAAAGACAGCTCCTTTCGAATGCAGTCGAAAGGAGCTTACTTAGCTGGCTTGTGGCTGAACATTCCTTCCATAACCCGAGCAGGCGCGTAGGTCTTGTGCGCAGCTCGTCCAATTTGAAAGACCATGTTCCGAGACGTTGTCTTCCACTTCATCTTTCCATCGATTTCGTGGATCTATCAGTTAGTTCGCTTTTATATGCCTTTTGAGCTGGGGCATCCTCATTCATTTTCACATGACCTAGCCAAGGTAGTCGCTGCAGCTCGATCCGTCTGACTATGCTGATGTCCGAGAATAGATGGTACAACTCATAGTTCACTCGACGTCTATATTCACCGTCGACGCAGATCGGCCCATAGATCTTTCGGAGAATTTATCTCTCAAACACTCTAAGAGCAGCCTCATCTGCTTGCGAGGCACCCATGCTGATATTAGTATCAGCGTTTTTAGGGTGTGAGTTTGTACTAGCGGGAGGTTGCCTTGTTTCTGAATTCCTTACATAGACAACACTATTCCAACACTAATCTTTACAGAATTTCAAAACTAATGACACTACTTTTATTTCTTGGTGGTACCAAGATATATAAAATCTTTGACTACCTCGAAGCTGTAGTTCTCATGTTCCACAGTTGGTCCGAGTCTACTGGGCTAAGCAGAATGCTCGCGTTGAGCCATCCGTCGCGTTATATATTATCGAAAGTACAACAACCACAAGGAAACGTTAACACAAACACATATTGTTCCCTTGTGGTTGTTGTATTTTCGATAACATATAACGCGACGGATGGCTCAACGCGAGCATTCTGCTTTGCCCTTAAGATAGATCTTATCGCCATTTACTGCCAGACCCTCTTCGGCAGACTCCTTGTCAATTTGTTCATAGGTGGCTTTTACCACTCTCAATGTTCGACCCATTATGTCGATGTCATCGGCGTATACGAGTAACATGTGTTGTTTGCTGTACAGAGTGCCATTTCTGTTTACTTTTGCCTCTCGTATGACATTTTCCAGCAGGATGTTAAAAAGATCGCAGGACAAACTGTCACCTTGTCTGAATCCGCGTTCGGTATTAAGGGGCTCCGATTGATCCTTTCCGACTTTAATTGAGAATCTTGTGCCAATTAAAGTTATCCTGCATAGCCGTATTAATTTTGCAGGAATGCCAAAAACAGACATGACTTTAAACACTTCTGAATTGCAAATGAATAATACTCAGCTCATCTTCCCGGTCGTATAGATTATCTGTCCACCGGAAGAATTCATTTAAAATTTAAACAGGTTCCGTATGATTAACTTGGTTATTTTCTAAAATTATTGACATACGTAACGTCTCTTGTCGTGTTACTAAGGATACGTTAACCATACGTTACAGCAAATACGGATTTCGTATAAAAAATTAATAGAGACAAAAATAATTTCTTTATATAATTATTTTAATGTTTTTTTTTTTTAATATTGTATTGTAGTATATAGTATATAGATTTATTAATTTATTATTACCTAGAAATTTATTACACATGTACTTCTTCGCTCTCGTAATCCACCATTACGTCTGACTACTTCTCTCCATTCCAACAACATATCAGCTGTTTCACAAAATCTCAATAAAATTTGCTGAAAATTTAAGGACTGTTCTACGCTCAGAATTACTTCCGTGAAAACCCGCAAAAATTCAATTCAAATCTCAAACGAAATGCAAAAAATCAACCCGAAGCAAGATCTTCAATCGCTATGTCGTGCCTGCAGCAAGGAATTACGAAAACAATATTACAAAAACAACATACACAATATGGATTTTCAAATACGTCAATGGTTGGAAGATGCATCCATAAAGAATCCTTTGGCTGAAGATACGTATCCTAGCTGTGTTTGCAATTCATGTTGTGGAAAATTGAGGAAATTTTTAGAATTTTACCAAATGTGCCAAAATTCTTTGAAAATATTCGAGGACATAATGGAAACAAAATCAAAGATAGGGGATATCACAAATCTGTCGCCAAAGGAAACCACGGAAGAAGCGACTATTGAATCAAATGCTATTAAACATGAATGGTTGGAATTTGATTTTGTGGCATTACCCAAGTCATCAGGCAATGCAGATGATAAATCCAAAATAGAAGAAGGAGGTGGCAACGGGGAGGTAAGATTAATACTTATATTTAAAATCAATTTTATGTGATTGTTTGGAAGGATGTGGCTTAGAAATTCTAAATTTATATATTACATATATAAATATATCTAGTCCACAAAATTCCTACCATTTTTTTAATTGTAACTTTATTGAAGTCGACCTTTATGGCTTCAAATTGCATTTTTGGAAATAAATTAATATTATGTTTTCTTTTGTAGTTCCTGAAGTCTGCTAAGAAGGAGAACGACTCAGTAGATTTCTTAGATATACCTTCGCATGAGGATGACGATAATGATCATAATAACCCTAACGAAACATTAGGAGATTCTGATTGCAGTGGAGAAATGCATGAAGAAGAAGACGAAATCTGTAACTCAACGGATATTTCTGAAAACGAAGAAACTACCCCCAATAAACAGAAACCTATAAAAAAATCAAAAGGACACCCACCAAAAAGAAAACAACTACGAAAGCAAAAAATGAAATCTGACGAACCCACCCATCATGTCTGTGAAGAATGTGGCAAAGTCTATAGATCTCTGATAAAACTAACCGAACATCAATATACTCACAAACCGCTCGACGAATATCCCTACCATTGTGATGAACCCAATTGTGGTAAGGCTTTTCGTACTAGCTGCGGTTTTCAGGATCATAAATTACGACATGCTGGAATCAAAAATTTCCATTGCCATTTGTGTGATATGAAGAAGACGAGTAAGAAGGAATTGGCCATTCACATAAATTATCACACCAAAGAGAAAAAATATATTTGTTCGAAATGTTCAATGGTATTTTATAGTGCCAATGATTTACGTACCCATGATAAGGTGGTACATTTGAAAATACGTCGTTTTACCTGTAGCTATTGTAATCATCAATTTGCCAAGAAATATGCTCTAAGGAATCATGAAATGCGTCATACGGGAGAGAGACCATATGTTTGTAAGGAATGTGGTAAGGGTTTCATACAACTTGTTTCGCTGAGGAGTCACATGAAATCGCATAACGGTGGGGGTGTTGAGGGTGAGTGTAAAAAACAGGAGTATGCAGTAAAAGAAAATGAATAAATGTCAAGGATAATAAGGAAGGCATTCATGTTTCGGAATAAAAGAAACTCTTTCCAAAATGAATGGTTTTTTTTGCGGAGGAAGTCTAGAACTAAAAATGAATGGATATGAAGATTATTGAGAATGTCATTCTAAGTTTTTAAAAAGGATTTTCTCCATTGGAAATTAATTCCCCCATTTCTGGTGATAATTAAAAATCTAAAATAAAAAAGATTTAAAATACTCATTTTATGTAAATATGGGTTTTGAAATAAACCCGACTGAT